TTCTAACAATTGTTACTAATTCCAACTGTCATTTACCTAAAATCAGCTATCATTATGAACCACAACTAACCACATTTACATGGAGGCCGCTTGATCCAGGGGTTCCACCTTTTATGTTTCTGTTCAGTGAGCTCTTTGCTTTTTCTGCTGAACTAAAGGGGCTGTTGACTATTAGTCGTAGACGAAAAGACGTGGCAATTCAAAAGTCCTTTGAACGTCGTGGTGGTCGTCGCTGTCCTCTGAGGAGCCACTTGACTGATTGCGCCAAACTCAATTTGCCGGCCCGCCGACTGGCCAATAACTCGTGAGGCTAAGGTGAGGCTCATCCTCAGCAGTAGCTCTCCCCGTCATGACTGCCACCTCCTCTTTTCGCTTTATAGTCTTCCCGTTCCCTAATTGCTGTGCTCATCAACTTTTCGTCTCAGTATCCCGCGAAAGTGATCATCAGTGAGTTCATTTCCATTAAGGCCACCAGTCCCATCTTTGTTTTTTAGACCCGTTCAAAAACAATTGAGTCCACATAAAGGGTTGAGTGATGGCAAATCTCTGACTGCCTTGGAGTGGTCCTTATAGAACTCATCAAAGTCATTTCTAGAATCGTTCACGACGTCATCTGACGAGGCGAATGTGGCGGTGCGAGCGCTGCAATTTGCTGCCGATGAGATTAATGCTGGAAATGAGGTCCCATTTAGGTTCGTTTCGTTTTTATTCCCAGACAATTTCGCTGTTGACGATGTCACCCGAGTTTGTTTTTTATTTATGCGAAATCTTGCCGTAAATTGAATAAGCAACAAGTGCTTCGACTTCAGGCTCTCCTACGACCACTACGACGTGGATCCGGGGTCTTCTGAGGGATGGAACGTGGTGAATACAGGTGAAACCAGCATAAGTGATTTGCCTCCAGAGAAATGGCATTTAATTGTGTAGTCAATGGAAAATTCTCAAAAAATTCTTCATTCTCCTTTTTGTTTTTCTTTGCGACCTCATAGCGCTGTTCCTGGAATTCTTTTTATTTTCCTTCCTATTTTCGTTGTGAATACCTCAATTTTTTCCATGACTCATCTCGCCATTCTGTACCTTGAAATGGGTCAAGCCATCAGATGTTAAAATTTACTTCTTTTGCGTGAGACGCAAATCCGCCGAGCCATTTTGGATTTTTCGCGTATCTGTCTTGAAGGTGGATACGATGAAAAGTTAGCTCACTGGAAATAAGGGTAGAGGTGGTCAGTGGAGCAGGGATGAAGAAAAAACCATTTGAAATGGCCCAGAACCGAGAAATGGGACCCCTTCGGTGCGCGCTGCTCTCAACGTTGCTGCCCTCTTCAACGCTAATGCTCTCTCTCCTAAACGGCTAGAGTGTCACACTCGTCACACAGCGAAAGGGAGGCGTAAAGCGCCGATAGCACGCCGATAGCGCCCCCTGTGAGTGCGAAGCGACATGCAGTTCGCAGCTAAGGATATGCCCCCGGCGATCCAGAATGACCCTCTCCGCGGCGCCATCAACCTTTTCGTGGGATCCTCCTTTAAGTTCGCTCTAGAGCACGTGAAAATGATGACGAGCCAACGCTTACGGCGTTGATTAGTCCCTCTTAGATATGTGCCATGCATTCTTCTCCACTCAGGAAGAGAAACAGCTCTTTGGACGATGTTTGCCCTAGACAAAGAACTGCGAGAGCAGCCGACTAAGACGGATTCTGTCCAGTTCTTGAATCGAGTTTGATATCAATTGACCGACCATTCTTTTACGGAAGATTTTGCCGTTTGGCTGATTTAGACCCCAGATTTGGCGTCAAAGTGTGCGCAGCTGGCACTTCGCCGGGCTTGCACCAGGGTCAACCGTTACGTTGGACCGATATTGGAGCGACGTTGGACCGATGTTCACCGCTCTCCGCGCCGGCATTCACTCTCGCCACCCGCGAGCCGTCTGTGTCTCCGTGCGTACGTTCACTCTCGGCATTACTCTCGTCGTCGCGTTGGACTTTGTCCAACGGACGGTTGACCCTGCTGCCACACCTCGTTACTGCTCACCTCACTGTTTTCGCTGCGGTTTCCGCCCACAGCTGTCCAATTTTCGGCAATTTGCGACAGATGACTAGAAAAAAAGGACTGGTGAATGGTCTGTGCTTTATACTTTGCGCCCTTTACCTTTTCAAAAGGCGTGTGCTTAGAACGTCATTAGAGTGTTTCTTGGATGCGAGCGCGAGTGATGTAGTGCAACTAGCTTTCTTTCTAGCGCCGCCCTCCACACACAAGTGAGAGTCAAATCCTGGGTGGAGTCCCTTTGGCATGCTAACGGGGCACTTATGTGGTACCGCACTCGCTTGAGGGGAATAGTACTAGTTCGTGTATAAGCTTGACGCACTGTATTGTAATAAGTGTTTATGGGTATCTATTAGGATTGCATCGCTCCACATGCCACTGCGCATTTTAATGGGAATTCTAATTGGAGCGCGTTCGTTGCTTACTTGTCAGCCTTATACGCACGAATCTTCCTCTTTATTCGAGGATGCATTCAGATAAGCTTTATGTGTGACTTTGCATAACAAACTGCAAGCAGCGGCTTGAGAGGAAACGGCCAGCCCTCTTTTTTTGTTCGGCGATAGGAGAGGCCGAAAGATAACAGTTGCAAGAGAATTGCTGGAACGGCCTAGCGGGAACGTCAGACGGAGAAGAGATGCAGAATAGCAGACAGAGCAAAGATAGCATACATACAACGTGAGGCATGCGTGGTTAGTTGAAGCGTTAACGGCTGCGAATGCTTATCTCCTAGCACCCTTAGCACGTTTTGAGTTCCAAAAACGGGCTCATCTCTGCAATTGAGGTTCTAGCTCCGCATTATTCCCGAGAGGATACCAGTGAAATATTAATTCAAAATGTGCCTCCAAGAACCGTTATGAAGGCAGGGCATCAACGAGTGGGTTAAACTGAACTTCAATAGTATAGCGCACGCCGCTGTCTCACCTGCCGTCTTGTTGCTCAACGAATCCCTCGAGCAACTTCGTGAAGAGTGCCGAAGTCCTCCAACATTTTTCATTATTCTCATACTTCGATATACTTGAATGCTGCCCACGGCCCACCCGTTTCCTGATGCCTCAGCTCTGGCTAAGGTTCTTCTATCATGTTGAATTCCGCCGAGCCGCATGATTTGATAGCCACAGCGCGTAGGGATGTTTGAATAGCATACATACGAAGTTATAAGATGCCGCTTTGTCTCACGTTCATCGACTTGAAGAAGGCCTTCGACTCTGTGGAGACAGAAGCGGTCATCGAAGCCTTGGGCAACCAGGGCGTCCCTACTCAGTACATCAAGATTCTTCGTGAGCTCTACAGCAACTTTACGACCAGAATCTCACCATTCTACAAGGAGGTCATCATCGACGTCAAGAGAGGGGTTCGACAGGGCGACACCATCTCGCCCAAACTCTTCAGCGCCGCTCTCGAGAACGTCATGCGTCAACTGGAATGGGAAGACATGGGAGTGAAGGTCGACGGCCGGCAACTACACCACCTTCGTTTTGCTGACGACATCGTTCTTATAACGCCGAACATCGAGCAAGCGGAGCGAATGCTGGCTGATTTCGACTGCGCCTGTGGTAAGGTCGGTCTACAGCTGAACCTAACGAAGACGATGTTTATGAGAAACGGATTGGTTCCTGATGCCCCATTCACGCTCAACGGAACGAACATCACCGAATGCTCCAGCTACGTGTACCTAGGTCGGGAAATCAATATGATGAACGATCTAGCTCCAGAGCTGAGCAGGAGGAAACGAGCGGCTTGGGGAGCGTATAAGAACATCGAGGGAGTAGTGAAGAAGACGAAGAACATCCGGCTCCGTGCCCACCTCTTCGATTCCGCTGTCCTTCCTGCCCTAACCTACGCCTCAGAGACTTGGACTCTGCGCAGGCAGGACGAGCATGCGGTCAGCGTTATCCAACGCGCTGTCGAGAGGACGATGCTAGGAGTAACCCTATACACGCAAGTGCAGAGGGGAATCCGGAGTGCCGAACTACGCCAACGATCGAAGATCAGGGACGCTGCCGTTTTCGCCAAGGAATCGAAGATAAGGTGGGCCGGACACGTCATGCGATTTTGCGATGACCGTTGGACCAGAGCGGTTACCGACTGGATCCCTCGGGACGTCAAACGAACACCTGGACGACCGCCGGCCCGATGGTCAGACTTCTTCACGAAAGCTCTGAACGAAAGGAATGAAGGACACCGTGTCCCTCGAGCGAGGAGGGTCCACTGGACAACTCTTGCACGCGACAGGGACGAATGGAGACGTTGCTGGCGCCCGCTCGAGCAATTCGATGATCAACGGGACGACAGGTGATACAGGTGATTACCTACAGTTGAAGTCCGTGCGTTGTCTCTGGAAGTCAAGAGCCTTCATCCCATGCGAAGAGTGAGCACAGTATATTCATTGATACTTCCAGATAAGTTTTGATAAATGGGACTGCGACTGAAGACTCGCTCTTTGCTCGCAGGGCGCTGCCTTCCATTGGGATTCTATTAACTCCGACTGTTGGCAGCCAGAAAAAACTACTGTCGTGGTAGACCGAGTTTTTCACGGAATTCCTAAAAACTTGCCATCTATTGTCACACTTTGCTGGAGAAATCAAATCGACTGTCACCAATTCATCATTGAAGAGCACCTTCTAATCTATCTGTTACATGACAGCCTTCCTACACCACGACATCAGAAGATTTTCCCACGGAAACATGGTTCACGGTACGAGCTCAACGGGGTCGTCGACGTACCATAGACCATTACGAACGTCCTTGAACACGCCTTGGTCACAAGCAGTCTTGAGGGTTACACTAAGGTCGCCCTGAAAAGCATATTCAATTCAGTTGAATTCATTGACAAAAATTTATGCAGCCACGCTTCAGATCGGAGCAATTACGGTAGGCCTCGTTGAGCTTGACGGTGACGGCAGATGACGTCGGCGGGAGCAGTGAAGGAGTGCTTGCTTCTGTTACGGAGGGAACACCTAAGGAATATTCTGCCATAAAACTTTCATTAACATCGGCCCTGTGCGACGAAAAGTTCGATGATGTGCGCCATGGGCAAAGTGTCTCTTTTTTTGGCCACCCCTGTATATCGCCTCTCTCCGGCACTGAAATATATTAGCTTGTAATTTGTAAAAACAAATTCCATTCAACTGTCACTACCAAGTGTTTTCAAAGATCAGCAAGATATCATTTAGTGTGCCGAGAGTTGAAGGAAGGTGGAATGACACTGATCAGCATCGACAGTGGACGTGGAAACGAAGCGATGCGAGGCCTTGCCGACACCCTTGAAATGCCGCTGATCTCGCTTACTGCACCGCTCTATCCACAGGATCCTCCCAATTTGTAAGTCTTCTTCGCAACTCTCACAGTTTCCTCGCACCGTCGCAGTTCTGCTTTTATGAGACATGTTCCTAAGCATTTCAACGGCAACTGTTCCTACTGTGGCCATGCAGATAGATCACTCAAGGTCTAACCTAAGACAAAATTGTGCTGCAACTGGAACAGGAAATTGGCTTGGTCTTCTGCGATCGGGGCAACACGTACAATAAGTTGCGTCCCACCTGAACCATTTTCGGGGTTAAGGTTGGGTACTTGCTGATCCGTACCTTAAGTGATCTATAGACAGTTATTAGAGCTAAATACTACAGTTATTGATTAAATAACCTAATATGAAGGTTTCAATTCATTTTCGGAAGAACTTAACTGTAAGTTTCTCATAAAATCTCAACTTTTGAAAGCGAAGCTCACGCGCCCTCATTCCTTGGAGTACTGAAAGGAGGTCCAGAGCATAAAGCAAATGATCAGCTCAAATTGAAGGCATTAGGAATAAATTGGTGTGGTAACTTCTTTCAAATGTGGAAGTAGGAATGGGAGGAGTAGTGCATGTGGGGAAAAATGGAACGAAAATCGT